TTGACGATATTCACCTCGCCTTCGTAGAATAATTGTTAAACATAAATGTGGCTGCTCTTTTATGAGGTTGCAAGTCGCTTTTGGGACATTTCTTTTCCCTTAAAGAAAGGGGAATGGCGAGAATCTAAAGATTATTTGTATTGCAAACAAAGAATGAGCTGTCTGTTAAAGGTGGGGTTTGATCTTTTGTGTTACATTGTTGATTGAAAGAAAGACAAAGTCAAGGACATCACCAGTTTATTAAGTTCAATCACTTTAACAATCTTTCTGTTAAAGCATATACTCTACAGTATGGGTAGATGCCTCAAAAAAATAACAGGCTTATGCGACGACCCTTTGGCCTTAGTTAAAGCCTCCACACTTTGGATCATCCGATCCAGTAGGGCATTGATCCGACCAGTACAAAAATGACATCCATATATTCATGTTGGTAAACATGGTTGGCTGAAAATATGTGTAAATAAAACGTTGACCTCGATGTCATAAGGAAGATATTTAAGGGAGAAAGAGAGAGGATACAGGTACATCATTTTAGGATATGTCCATTCCACCGACGTAGAATTCGTAAATGGTCTCTAGAACCCAGAGATCTGTGGAGACGCAGAAGTTAGGTTTGTTTTGAATGAAGGAAGTATAATGCTGAAAAGCTTATACATAAGTTCTATCGATTAGAGAATTTCCCTAAAGAAGGGGCTGGGGAAGGGTGGGGGGAGAATTTGTGGAGAAACAGGCCCCCTTTTCCCTCTTCTATCATGCTTTTGGTGATTTCATCGACTAAATTATCTACTTTCTTCACCTCATTTGGATAACTATCCGTTTACGAGCCAACCAGAAAAAGACCAGACTAAAGCTTTACCTTTTTTTCCTCTACTGAAGATACTTCCGGAGGGGTCAATCATGGCTAAGAGCCCAAGATAAATTTATAGTTTCTTTTTCTTTTCTTTTTCTTAAAAATCATTATAACTGCGATAGATACTCCGTTCTGTAGAAATAATATACGAATTCGAAAATTACCTTATGTTGATACTTAATGTGCGGCACGTGACGCCACAGTTTGATTTTAAGTGTATTTTACTGAGAAAGTACACTTCGAATGTTTGTATCATTTAAAAATCCAAAACTAACTTGCATAGGGGTTGACCTATATCCAAATAACCTCCTGCGGGAGTACCCAAATTTATAGTTAAACAGCTTACATCGAAATCATTGCACTTCTTGTTTGTCATCGCTTGACAATCGGTTTCGCACGGCAGTGTTTTCTCTATAGGAGGCGGTGTGGCCGAGTGGTCAGGGTGCCGGACTTGTAATCCGGTGTCCAGGGTTCAAATCCTCCAACCTGCCACTTACTGGATTTGTTCTCGGTTGCCCCTAGTTCAACTCCTCGGCTACGCTCCGTAAAGAGCCCACTAGTCTACCTCCCGCCAGCGGGGATTTTTAAAGTGCTACTGCGACCAAAAATGCACCTTTTCTTTTCTCCTCAGAGGTTGAAAGTATTTACCTTAAGTAACAAATTTGCCAAATCTTAAGGCAAAACTCCATCGAGAAGTAATATTATTTTCCCTGTAGATTAGCCATCTAAACGGCTGCCATTCTTCGAACTACAGAACTCCGCGCGAAGGAGAAGAAACTGGGTCGAGAACGGAAGTGACGTCAACGCCTCAACAAACGTGGCTAATTTGGTATGCCGAGGGAGAGTTGTTTTTCTGGTTCCGCAGGAAAGAAGGAATAAAATTCGAAAGGAATGTTTCCCAGCTTTCTTTTGCGTATTTCTTGTAAAGACATGCCTTCGCGACGTTGTCGAAGTGAGTCGATGACGTCACAACTAAAACCGCTGTAGTTATTCTCGCGGGCTCTCCGATGTGTTATTCGAGCAATGGTGGAAGAATTTTTAATGTCTCCGCGGCGCTGTTTTTAGGGAATAACGTTGTCAAATTTGAGAAAATTACACTTACATTTGTAGTTTAGGGTCTAACTGGTGAAGTTAACACCAGAAAATTTGGAAAATAAAATGCAAAAATTTTGTCGCAGTAGCACTTTAAGCACTTAGTTTACATTGTGGTTGAAAAGCCCCTCAGAGGGAGCTTCAATTTAAATATTTATTAATATTATTATAATTATTATTATTATTACTATTATTATTATAGGAATAGAGAACTCATACGTCCCAAATGGACTCTGGCATTCCTCCGCTCCAATCAGTGAATCGCTGCAAGGCGAATCGTTAAGGACTGATGGCAGCACATTGGTAGTAAGCGTTTGTTGTCTTCATCCATGCAGAAAAGGGAATCCGCTGAAAGAAAAATCACTTCTCATCGTTAAGGACCCCTAAGATAAAGGGCAAGCTGGTCTGATCGTGGAATGTGGTACAGGCGTCGGAATAAGGGCTTGATTATTTTGTGGTTATGTTATAGCTGTACTATTAAAGATAAAAGCTCTTATTCGCCCAATTTTCCTTAAATACCAAAAAATCAACTGAAAAATACCAAGATAAAACTCTTCTCTACAAATAGCAATCTCACTGTCATTAAGTCAAAGCACAAAAGGCTAGTTAAAAGACAGACGACAAAAGCAAAATTGTTATCATTTGTGTTAACGGGGTACAGTCCACTGTTTTCTTAATTTTTAAATAGATGATAAATAGATAGTTTTTATATCCTCCGTATTCTCAGATGAGTGGCATTGAGTCAGAGATACACGATTAGTCAAACGTACATCCAGCTTTGTTACCTTAAATGGACTTTAATAATACATTACGTAATTATACAAGAGATTTTGATTAACATTTAGATTATCGCAGTAAATGGTTTGAACCCGGGGGTAACATGTGAAGGTGTAGTCTGATCGTCCGGGTGAGTGCAGTCCTGAGAAGGACTGTTATCGGTGGTAGTGACTGACGTTTCGACAACCTGTGCGGAAGTCATCATCAGAGTCAAGTGAATGATTGTTGTCAGTAGAATGTTCTTATTCCAGTTCGTGTGAAATGATCGGTTGGTTTTGCCGTGATGTTATTGGCTGTAAGACTCAAGTGACGTAAGTCGGTCGTGATTGGTCTGTTTCGGTCTGTCGGTAAAGCTAGGTTGTTCTTTTTCGGTCGTTTGTGATGTTTATGTCGTGAATGAGTCGTTTGTATGGAGCGGGTAGTTGTTGACATCTGTTTAGGGGAGTCTGTTCTAAGTTAGTAAACCAGCTTTCCAGAGTCAGTCGTTGAAAATAGTCAGTGCTGTAGGTTAGGCATTGCGCAGAGTCCCAGTCAATGTTGTGGTTGGTAAGTCGATGGTGTTCAGCAATGTGATTGCTGACATCACCTTTCCTCGTCGCCCGTCTGTGTTCAGTCAGTCTTGTTGTGAGGTTTCTGCCAGTCTCACCGATGTAGGAGGCTTGGCAGTCGGAACAATTGATCTTATAAATCGTTCCCTGTCTGTTCCTCGGTTCGTCTTTGTCTTTAACGTTGGTTAGTAACTGACGTAGTGTGGTGATGGGTTTGTGGGCGACGCGGATATTGAAGGGTAGTAAGATGCGCGAGATGTTTTCAGACATACCTTTTATGTACGGTATGGTTGCTGTAGTCGTAGGGGTTGCGGTGTCGTTTGTTTCGGTAGTGGTAGTGGGTCGGTGAGTGTTTCGTCGGATGAAGTCGTTGTTGTAGTTGTTCTTCGTAAAAACACGGTGAAGGTATTTGTTCTCGTCGGATAAGCTGTCTGTCGAGTCACATACTAGTTGTGCGCGTCGTGTTAGAGTTCTGATAGTTGTGGCTTTGTGTGATGTAGGGTTGTAGGATGACTCGTCTAGTAATCTGTCGGTGTGTGTCGGTTTCCTGTAAACTGTCGTTCGTAATGAGTTGTCGTTGTGGCTTACCAGGCAGTCTAGAAAAGGAAGTTTGCCATTTTCTTCGACTTCTCTGGTAAACTGTATGTCAGTGTTTTGTTCATTAAGGTGGTGGTGGAATGCGTCAATTTCGTCGTGTCGAACGGCGGTGAATGTGTCGTCAACGTAACGTAACCAAAGCGGTATCGTTTGTCGGCAAGTCGAAAGGGCGCGTTCCTCGATGTTCTGCATCACAATTTCTGCTATAACAACAGAAACTGGAGACCCCATGGCAGTGCCGTGTAACTGTTTGTAGTGTTTACCGTTGTACTGAAAGTAAGTAGACGTTAGGCAAATGTTTAGCAAGTCCATGATGTCGTCTGTCGGTAGCGGTAGTGGNCCACTACCGCTACCGACAGACGACATCATGGACTTGCTAAACATTTGCCTAACGTCTACTTACTTTCAGTACAACGGTAAACACTACAAACAGTTACACGGCACTGCCATGGGGTCTCCAGTTTCTGTTGTTATAGCAGAAATTGTGATGCAGAACATCGAGGAACGCGCCCTTTCGACTTGCCGACAAACGATACCGCTTTGGTTACGTTACGTTGACGACACATTCACCGCCGTTCGACACGACGAAATTGACGCATTCCACAACCACCTTAACGAACAAAACACTGACATACAGTTTACCAGAGAAGTCGAAGAAAATGGCAAACTTCCTTTTCTAGACTGCCTGGTAAGCCACAACGACAACTCATTACGAACGACAGTTTACAGGAAACCGACACACACCGACAGATTACTAGACGAGTCATCCTACAACCCTACATCACACAAAGCCACAACTATCAGAACTCTAACACGACGCGCACAACTAGTATGTGACTCGACAGACAGCTTATCCGACGAGAACAAATACCTTCACCGTGTTTTTACGAAGAACAACTACAACAACGACTTCATCCGACGAAACACTCACCGACCCACTACCACTACCGAAACAAACGACACCGCAACCCCTACGACTACAGCAACCATACCGTACATAAAAGGCATGTCTGAAAACATCTCGCGCATCTTACTACCCTTCAATATCCGCGTCGCCCACAAACCCATCACCACACTACGTCAGTTACTAACCAACGTTAAAGACAAAGACGAACCGAGGAACAGACAGGGAACGATTTATAAGATCAATTGTTCCGACTGCCAAGCCTCCTACATCGGTGAGACTGGCAGAAACCTCACAACAAGACTGACTGAACACAGACGGGCGACGAGGAAAGGTGATGTCAGCAATCACATTGCTGAACACCATCGACTTACCAACCACAACATTGACTGGGACTCTGCGCAATGCCTAACCTACAGCACTGACTATTTTCAACGACTGACTCTGGAAAGCTGGTTTACTAACTTAGAACAGACTCCCCTAAACAGATGTCAACAACTACCCGCCCCATACAAACGACTCATTCACGACATAAACATCACAAACGACCGAAAAAGAACGACCTAACTTTACCGACAGATCGAAACAGACCAATCACGACCGACTTACGTCACTTGAGTCTTACAGCCAATAACATCACGGCAAAACCAACCGATCATTTCACACGAACTGGAATAAGAACATTCTACTGACAACAATCATTCACTTGACTCTGATGATGACTTGTCGAAACGTCAGTCACTAGCACCGACAACAGTCCTTCTCAGGACTGCACTCACCGGGACGATCAGACTACACCTTCGTATAAATTATCGTTTGCGACCCTTAAGTCCCTGTATAATGAATATCTCTCATTGCAAGTGGAGTTGGCTCGGATATCATTTGCAAACCAAACCGTTGAAATGAAAGAGTGGGCTGTGACTGCTCTTAGGGGAAGTTCTGAAAAGGCTCGCGACAGGGCTCTGTTGCGTCTGCAGATAATCATGATTATATCTTGCGTGATCGTATTACAGAATATAATATACCCTAAGGGTTACTGTCCTTTGAGACTTTTAGAAGCTTATTAGATGAAAAATTGATTGATAAATTGTGCATTGACATGAAAGTTTTTTTCCATGAATATTTTGGCTGTTTTTGTTTTCGATTTCAATGAAACCAATTTCCTGGAAAGCATCATTAACGCAGATCCCAAAAACAGTTTGAGAATTGGGAAAGAGGGGGAAGATTTGAAGATAGAAGGAAGAAAACATAGCCCTTTAATTTCACAAAATCCAGTAGCGAAACAAATGGCAACATACAGGCAATTTCATATATAAAGCTGCTGTTAGCTGGTGATATAAATCAAAACGCACTCTGATTGGATGACCATAATAATATTAATCATCAGTATGAGCAATACAGGTTGATAGTGCTTTTTACGTCCCCTGATTGGCTAATTCGGGGATGATGAGCCTTGAAACGTTTACTTCCCATACAGCAGCGCATCACGAGGATTTCCAGGGGTGGAGAGCAACCTACTTAATATCTTGTAGGGAAAAGCACCGCTCTCCTTCAAAAACGATGTTTTGAACTCAGAGATCATTGACTCCAAGAGAACCACGCAGCTCTTCAAACATTTGAGTATTGTATTTTATTACACGACTCGGGAAGTCAGAGGGCCAATAACTAAAATCAACCACTCAAAATGCTCTATTGCTGGTCCAATATTCTCTAAGTATTGGACCGGGCACTGTCCCGAATGGTCCCGAATGATACCGCACTTGTGTCCCTTTGAACTTCAGTCGTA